CGAATTGAAATTTTGCAGAAATAATTCTATCAAATTTGGAATCATGAGCAAAATTGTGTTTAGCAATATAAAGGCTAAAAGAAAGACTGATACTAGTTCCAGTTAGACAAGAAGTTTTAGTTATTGCTAAAAAAAATGGTATAGTCAGGGAAATCACAATTGAAAATGAAGGTAATTCCCTTTCTATAAACCTATGATGTTAAACTGATAAATTGAATATAAGGAGAAAGGTAATTTTATTTTGCGAGATCATTGAAAGAATAAACATTATGTGTTATAATTCTAAGGTTAAAAAGAAAAGGAGTGTAAGAACTAGGAATACTTGTGTTATTCATTATACGGATAGTAATCATGGTAATAATAATAATTATTGTTAAAAGCTGTTGATGTAGCGTTCTATTATTTTATCAAGGTCTTCAGTTAAGGATTTAAAAATTTGTGTGTCATATTTGTTAAAAATATTTTTGTTGAGAAGGGTGATTTGGAAGTCGTGACAAGACTTAAGTAACTTATTGAGCATAGAAGTAAATCTAATATACGTTATTGTTGTTTCTAACAAATAAGGACTAATTGTTTGTTTGTTTATTTTTGTAAATGAGCAGTGCAAATATTAGTATTAATATGTGAGATTATTAGTCTATTTTAGTAGCAGATTCTGGTAAGTTGTTATTGAATTCCTTTACTTTAGCAAGAATAATGACTTTTATATAAAGGGCTTTTTTAATAACAACTAAATGTTGCTATGAAAACTTAAATTTGACACAAAGAACAGTGAGCGTATTAGAAATAGAAGTAAGTTAGGAGGTGACAAATTGTTTAAAGTCTGGATCATAAATTGAACCACCTTTTGCAGTACCATTGTTTAGTTTTAGAGTAAGAAAAACTTCAGTTTCTATAAAATCATCTATAGGATCGTCTACTCAGTGCAATTTTGGTTTAATATTAGAAGGATTAGAAAAAAATGTTTTAGCGTTAGATTTAGGTGATGGGGTAGAAGAGGTTTTTTCTTAGAGGTTTCTTAAGAATTGTTAGTTTGTTGCAAAGTCTTAGTCACATGAGCAAAAGTAATGTTATCACGAATGGCACCTCTTATAGAACTACATTTAAGTGCAATATAATTATTAAATTGGGCAGATTGAAATCTCTGATACAGATTTTGCATACTATAGTCTTTAGAAGTTTAATGATACTTGGGACAAGAGGAAGATTATGATGTGTTGATGAACAAATAGCATAAAGTTTAACTTTTAGATCAGTCCATTCAAGTTTCTTGTTATTCAATAATAAATTCTTGATATTCATAGCAACCTGAATATCTTCTTTGTTAAGAAAATAGAAAAATGCATGCTGTAAATAATTGTAGTTAGAGCGAGCTCTAAGAATGATCTATGCAGTAGCAGAGATCATATTTTTGATATTTTAAAAGTCACGTGGTGTAATATTATGAGAAAGGTTAGTAAGCTTGACTGAAAATATAGAGCGAGTTTGAATATCAGGTCTGGAGAGACTACAAGGATATTAACAAATTATATTGTTTAAAAAGTAAATTCTGTCTCCTTTTTTTAGTTTTTCAAAGTTGACTTTTTCATTGAAAGTAATTATAGCTCTTTGCCAGAGATTTTTAGTTTTCATAGTGAAATGAACAATATTTTTAAATCTAGAAATAATTTACATAATCTAGTTTTCGTAATGTTTAGGGGAATTTCTATAACCATAATCAACTGATTAGATATATAAAGGGCAGATATTTTATGTCTAATAGTTAGAACGTGATGTTATTTATATCAGGAAATTTGAAGTTGCAGAAAGCATTACATTCAGATTTATCTATAAGGACAACTTTAATAATTGCTTAATTTTGATCAACAGGGTGTTTTCCTCTTGTGGCATTGACAAACAAGTTATATTTATCATAGTATAGATTAGTGATCTTTGAGATCTTCATTTGGGGGTTTGATCCAGGGAATTTTCGTTAGAATATATGCAAAAAATTTGATAATTTGAGTTAAAGATGCTTTAAAGCTGAGGGTTAAAGTGTTTTAAAATATTTTCTGACACATCAAAGAACTTATCAACACTCATAGTTAGTTTTAGTGCAGTTATTTTTGATATTGCTATAATATCTTTAGGGTTTTTTCCTGTCAAGATTGTTGGTTGAACTTTTCTCAATAGGGTTAACTTCCATTATGCTGTTATCTTTAGAAAGATAGTTTTAATAGGTATATTTGGATATTATTCAGTGAGATTGTTATCTAGAGTTTGGGTTGTATTTTGTTTTTTTGTTGATTATTAGTCAGTAACTAGTAACACAGAGTGACTGCAGTTGGTATTCTTTCTTTCATTTTTTCTTGACAATTTTGGTGGATTATTAGATCAACAGAAAGAGTTTTTCAGATAATAATCAAAAACTAACTTTTTTTTTTTTTATAAGTGCAACAGTCTTGCATAATCTTTATTAATATTTATGAATTTACAAGAAAAATAAAATAAAACAGAAAATACAAAAATATTTATAAACTAATCTAGCAAACCAAACTACTTTATCAAACTAAACTATACATCAGAAAAAAAAAGAAAACTAATTTAAACTAAATACAGATATCAAACGTCCAGAAGGAAGGATATGATTACTATTAGATCAGAAATTTAACCAGTGAGTATCATAGGCAATTGTCACTGTAAAAGAGGATGGATTAATTGAAGATGTTTGCGTAGATTGAGGAAAACTAAAGGATACCTAAACTACTATGAAATCATCTTTTATATTATTAGAAGTCTTCCATAATTGTAGTAATTCACATCTTTCTAACTATATATTGTGGATTGAGAAGAATATATTATCAAATAAGGATGATAATAAGCCAAGGGTGATTTGTTTATTGTTTGTGATAGTATTAATTGAAGAAGTAAAAAGTGTAGGGATTATCTCTTTTAATAAGTCGATGAAATACAAACTATTGTTAACTAAGCTGCAATTCCATATTGAAGATTGATCTATATATAAAATAGCTGTGTTATTGTTGGGTTTATTGAGTTCTTTTAGGTAAGACATAAATGATTATTTATGTTCTTGTATGATGTCTGACAAGGGTTTAGTGTTGTTAGGACAATTCTAAATGTGATCAAAATTTTCAGTTAACGAAAAAATAACGAAAACAGATGTTTAAGACATAGGTCTATAGGTATTGAGTATTCATTATTACTAAAGTGAGAAGTAATTATAAAAGCAATTTTAGCTTGAATTGTTTTCTTTTACAGGTATCAAATGATGTAACCCTAGTATTTTCTGAGTCAATGAGAATATAAAATAAGGTTTGCTAATCAATATGAAAGTTGTTATATTTGGCAAGATGTAGGAGAGACAGGAAAGCATCTGCCCAAAAGGCTTGTTGTGAGTGTTTAATAAAAAGACAAGATAGGATGATGATTGGTATATTGTTATAATATAAAATATATTTCAATCCTAAATGATTTATATTAATGTGTAAAGGAGTATTAGTAACTTGTTTTGCTAAAATGTCAACTTGATTATTAAATTGGTCATTTTCATACGCTTTGACTTTAGTGAGTATGAGTTTAATATTGTATATAGCTATAAAGTGTAACATAGTCATCCAAATATAAAAGTATGAAATTTTGAATGCAGGATTGAAAAAGGGAGATACCTCATAAAGTGTTATAATTTTGTTATGTAATGTAATTGCGGTTTGTGAATCAGTACAGATTTTAATGCTAGTATTAGGTGGTGATGTATATATACTGCAGCAAGTATAGCAACTATTTCTGCTAATGTTGATGAGGAGAATGTAATACTAGTGTGGCATTAAAAGAGAGTGATGGTCAATTCTAGTCAGTCTATAATTATCTGATTCCCATTCAGCAGTTGAAAAAACCTAATAAAGTAAGAAAACTATCTGTGTAAATTGGAAAAAATTAGCGTTAGCAAATTGTAATTTAAGTTGTTATAATCTATTGATTGAAGGTAAGTTAAAAGAAAGAATTGATAAATTAGGCAAAAGTTTGGTTGGATATTGATAGGAGGAGGTTAATGTTGATAGTGCTAATTCTTGTAGCATAAGGTATGAAAGGCTACACTACTATCTTTTACAAGATTTATAAAATACTTTGAATATAAAATAATATATTTTGAGTAATTTGATAGTACAAAAGTTATGTCTTTATTGTTATTTATACGAAATAAAAGTAAAGTGATCAAATATATTACATCTAATACAAGAAGCAATAGGCATCCAGTTACATTCTGATTGAGTTAGTAGATAGTGTTATGTGTGAATAGTTGTATCATCCTCTTTGGTAACTTTTTCTAAGATAAAGGTCATGTATTTATTAGACTAAATGACTATAAAAATTAGATTAGTAGGCAACGTTATGAAAGTGGTTAGTTGTATTGGAGCTTTAATCAAAGATGCATGAGGAGGGCAACTATTAGACGATTATCTAGTGGATGCATTGATCAAAATTTTGATTTCAGTTAATTAAACCATTTAGAACTATGGAATACTAAGTTATAAATTATCAAAAGTTGTGAATAAGTTAAGACTATCCATCATTGAGAGTTAGTCAACATATAAAATTGATAGTAATCGTAATTGTAGGATGTTTTGCCAGTAAAATTTTAGGGTAAAGTAATTTGAAATAGAAATAGATCTTCCTTCAATTTGTCTTACTGTAAACGGTAGACTATAATATCCCCTATAGTATAGTACTATACCCATAATTTTGATGCAAAAAGTCCAGATACTATACATGAAGAGTGCAAGATTTTTTTTACTTAATTTGTATGATATTCAGAGGGTACTACACTTTAGGGAATATTATACTATAAGGAGTATTATACTTAAAAATTTATATTGATTGGCATATACAATAAATAAAATTAAGTTTATTAATTTATCATAGTCACAATATATATGACGCATTTATTTATTTTTGCAGTAAATTTATTAAGAACATGATCAATATTATTATTTATTTACCAACTAATATTCGTTCTTATAATCTAAAACTTTCTTTTCTTCATATTCATTTATATCAGACTCATCACTATTAATATCATTACTATCACTATTGTTATTATCACTATCGTTACTATTGTTATTTCTATAAAAATCATTGTCACTATCACTACTAAAATCATCAATATTCTGAACTTTATCCTGCCTACTTTTCTTTTTTTTTGTATTATTAAGTAAACTATTATAATTGAACATCAAATTATCCTCACTTCCATTTCTAACAACAGAAATTCTGCAACATTTAAATGACTTTTGAATTAAAGAAATATCTATACCAGCCCATAATTTTTTTATCTATTCAGCTACAATAGCATAAAAAGGATGTTTGATTCTTCCAACAGGTGTTAATTCACGAATTTCAGAATTCATTTATTCATTATAATAGTAACACAACTTTGCTTTAAAGCTTTTATTAATAGCTACATCTAAAGATTGTAATTTACTTGTAAGACCACCAAGAATGACTGCAATATTAGTTTGCTTCTCATTAAATTTATTTTTAACTGATTCAACAAGATGTTTACGAAAAGAATCTAAAACTAATAAAGACCTTAGGTTGTTAAGTGCATTTCTTTGAGTCTATATATTCTCAATCCACCAGAGCATTTCTTATTCATTATACCATTCTTTTTCATTTACACGTATATGAATTCCTTAAGGAAATGATTCTCTTAATATATTTTTAAGCTTAAAAATACAAACAGCCGGTAGTTTTATACCATCAGCCATATATCCTAATATAACAGTAAAATTTGTTTTTTCATGACCAGTAGTTCATATATTAATAGTTAAAGTACCACAATAATCTAAAGTAGTTAAATAAGGTAGATCAAATATAATCAGTGTTTCATCTATATTGCCAATATATCTTAACAGATAATCATATTGGATTCGTCTATATAAAACAAAACTTAAGAAATTTGCTATTTATCAAAAGATTATCAGGAAGATGTTGTATAATATGTGTTCTTCTTCTTGTAACAAGATTATATCTTTTCATAAACCCCTCTAACCATGCTTCAGAAAATTTAAATTGAGTAATAATTAAATATAGATCTATCTAATTTTTTTCCTTAGCAATTATTTTGGCTCTTCTAATTAATATATTTCATGTAACAGCTTTTACATCCTTGCGTAAATCAGATATTCATAGAAAAAGATTTTTTTCAAATTCTAGAAGTGTTACACTTTTACCTTTATGTAACTTTTGTATATGTAGTGCTACACTTTCAAGTTAAGACTTTTGATTCATCTAATAACAGATTTGTTTTATTTCTACATCAAACTTTCTTGCTGCTAAACGTTTGCTTTCACATTGTTCAATATGATTTACTATAAGTAGCTTTTCACAAACACACCACTGCCTTCTTTTTTTATTATTATTTGTGCTTTTTTGTTTTACTTTGATGAGCAATTATATTACTATACTTAAAAAAACATAGATAAATGAAACAAAAAAATAAAAATAAATTTATGAATTTAAGTTTTGTACAAAGGGGTAAGAATGTGATTTTGATCTAAAAAATGATGATTTGCAATTTTCGTATCCTTTTAATCTAAACTACATTTTAGATCATCAATATTTTTTAATTTATATTTAACTGATTATAAATATAGTAAAATAAAATAAATTTCTGTGTATCTTCCCTTTTATTCAAAGTATCTCCTATAGTATAGTATCCTTTAAAATTCTTAAATTTGTATAATACTCAGATACTATAATCCACCGTTTATGGTAAGTTATAGTTAGTGTCAATATATTGTTAAAAGTAAAGGCCATTAAGTTTTGCGGTAAACAATAAGCAAGACCACCATTTTCTAAATAGTTTTGTATCATCATAAGGCCAATAGTTAAAGGGGTAGAGATAACTATTTAAATAACTAAAGTTGCATATTGCATAATCATAATATTGACCTGAGGATTAAAAGAGACCAAAATGTTTTAACATTTTATTTGATATTTTTGATAGTTCAGGGTTTTATCATTATGAAGCATTTTAATAATATTATTCCATTTATTTTTAGTCTGAGGTTGCATTAATGAGCTGTAAATATTAGGATCGATTGATCTATCAGGGGTATAAGTGTACTCTCATGCCTCTGAAAGTGGTATATTAGAGTATTATGAGCCTACCACTTGTTGAAAATGATGCGCTATTTTATATTGAACATCTTTTGGATCTGTGAGAAGTTTTTGTTTAGATTGCTATTGTTTATGTATCTATTTAATAGAATAATACTGTAGGATCTTTTTAGTAATAAGTTAAATATGGATTTTTGATCATTAATCATGTTAACGCATCAATGTTCAATGGCTTTATTAATCATTTTTGTCTTAAAATCAGCTTTGTTAAATTTAACAGCTGCAGAAAGTATTTTACAAAGGTCAATTAACTGCAGTTTGACAATATGAATGTTATTGATAGATAGTTAACTTATATCTGAAAGTGTCATATCAAATTCTGATGAAAAAACATATATTTTTTTATAAAGAATAATCTATTTAAAGTCAATACAATTCTGGGTGATGCATTTGTTACTTAATTTGTACTAGTTTGATACGTTTATATATCAATCTAAGAATGTGTAATCTAAAGTCTCGAGTGTGATATGAGGTATATTTGTTAAGAATAGTTTTAGTAACAGCATCGATAATTAATTTTTGTAGCAGATTCTAATAAAAATTAAGGTGGTGAATAGTGCGAATGTTATTTGGTATGAGGAGTTTTAATCTAGTATTCTTGCATCTGTGATCCACAGAGATACCAAAAGCATTCCAATCATCTTCAGACATATCTTGGTATTGAAAAACTAGTTTTTTTGTTATTAATTGTTATGCAAATGATGAATTAATTGTTGTTAATGAAATTGTAACTTGAACTATAGCATGATCAGAAATATCATTATCCACTTTAATGACTACTTGATCCACAAGATTAAGGACAAGTATTGAGTGAATAAAAATATAGTTAATGGTAGAACAACCAGTATTAGTTGTATAAGTAGTGAGATCATAAGTTAACTTTTGATTTTTGATTAGATCCAAATTGTTTATTAAATGTAGATTATTGAGCGAATCAAAAAATTCCTTTGAGTTTATAGGGTTATGTATTCTTGATGGATCAGCGTTAAATTGTCAAGAAAAATCACTAAGGAGTCCTTTTGGTAAGCATCATTTATAAGATCTAATATCTTCCTGTAGGTTTTGCGACATAGTTAAATATTTGAGCTAGAAACATAAACATTAATAATACGAAGTTTAGTTTTATTTTTGAATTAAAAATCAATTGAGTATATGTGATGATAAAGGATATGTAGTAAAAACATAATCAGCCAAATGTTTTTTTACAAGAAAACTAACTCTAAAGCTTATGCTTTGTAAGGAGGGTCTGTATTAAAAAAGGAACAAATTTATTAAAATATATAGGTTTTAAGGAGTGTATATGCGATGGATTTTTAAAGTTCGTTTCTTATAAAATGATAATATCTAAGTTATGAAGTATGTAAAGATTAAAAAGGATTTGTTGTTTGTATGGTAAGGTAAAAGAACAAGTATTGTGAGTGGTAATATTAAGGACGAGAAGTACCATTTTTGTATTATATAGTTGTAAGATCATAATTATTTAAAGAATAAATCAGGGGTTGGGACCTCTGTACTATCTTCTAGAGTGTTAATAATATCAGGTAAATCAAGTTTGGGGATTAGAACTTTATGATTGGAATGAGTTTCATCATAAATCATATTTTGAATACTAGCGATAGCTCAGAGAGCAACTTTAAATTTTTGACGGTAACTTTATAATGAGCGCATAATTTCTCATTTTCTTTGTATAATAATATAATATATTTTTTATGTTCAGTTACTTTGGAGTCTGATGTGTTTACTTCAGATTTATATACAGTATCAGTATTCATGACACCTTCTGCTTTATTAGCTTCGTTGAGTTCTACAGCTTTTTTTAGAGTAAGGGTGAAAATATTAAGGTGTTTTTTAACTTCATTGAGACGATATATCAAAAAAGCAAGATTATTATAAAGCATGGCCAATGTTGCAGTAATGGCATCTAATTTGTTTAAAATCCTCTATGTATTAGTCAACTTATGCATAGGTATTTTGTCGATTTGTACAGAATATCTTTCTCTTTCATTTGTTCAGATCATAATTTACAGGCATGGATCAACTTGTCAAGGGATAATTGTTTAGGTTTTGTGTTGTTATTAGAAGGAGTTAAACTAGAGTTGACCATAAGTTTAACATCTTTAGTCTTATTTACAAACAATCTTAGATTATTAGGATCAAATATTATGTCTTGATCATAAACAAAAGTAATTTTAGGATGTGACACAGGTGCTGAATAGTTTTTGAATTGTGCTGGCTTGAATCTTTGATATAGGTTTTGAGTTTATCTATCCTTTGGGTTAAGTTTTCTTTTTCTGCAATTACGTGAGTTATATCTTAGAATGGAATAGTGTGTATATAAGTTAGTATCTGACGCAATTCAGATAAATTTTCAATTATTAAAATTTATCAGATCTTTATTTTTTGCAGCTTCCATATTCTCTTTATTGCGGAAGTGCATAAAGGCGTATTAAAGGTTTTTGTAGTTAGGTTTAATTTTAGGGATTACCCAGGTGGTTGCATTTATAGCTTTTTTAATTGGTTTTAATTCTTAGCTTGTTGTGTCTTTTGAGAGATTAGTAAGTTTCAAGATGAATTAGGATCTAGCTCTAATTTTGTCATTAGTAAAAGAGCACACATGTACTTTAACCATATCTTTTAAAATGAAGAAACTTGCGTAAGTATTGAAAAATGATAGATCTGCCTTAGATGCATATGAGATGGTTACTTGTTACTACAGGTTTTTTGTCATTATAAAGCATTTGATGATTATGTTAAATCAGATAAATGTTGATTGAATGATCTGTTCAAAAGTAGAAATAAGAATCTCAGTAACCTTGATTAACAGACTCAGATCAAACTTAAATGGGGCAGGTGTGATAAAGGGTTTAAATGTGACCATTTCTATATTAGAAATTTTAGTAGCATAAATCCTAATTAGATAATTTTCAATGTTTTGTTTTCAGAATCTTGTTTTACTAATGTACTAATGAACGATAGGTATTCTGCGCTATTGAACAATTCACAAACTTTGTTGGTTTTTTCACAAAAAGATTTATTAGGAAGGAAGGTTTTTGCAGCGCAATATACATAAAAGGTAGTAGTGTCTCTGACTTTTTTCAAAAGTAATAATATTTTTGCTGGTATCTTTATCATTTAGCATATTTTCAAACACATCAAAGGCCTGGTCTTCGTCCATAGTGTTGTTGTCTTCAGGAGCTATCATTTCACTATTCTTTAGTTTTTAAATAGGCAAGATGCTGGTGGTAAAGGTTTTTTGTATATTTTTATAGTCAGAAAACCAAGCCTTTGCCATATTCGAAGGGTTTCTTTGCTTTAGCTAGAACTGCTGTAACTTGTTGGTTGACACTCATGTCGCCAGCCGATAAAATATTGGTAGTGTTTATGGTTCAGCTGAAGTTTTATCCGTTTGTTTAGACCTGCCAGTCATAGTTTTTTTCTGTAGAAGTTCTTCTTTATTTTTTGTTGGTGGGTTAGAGCAACTTCGCAAGTTGTGGTTGTTTTTTTGTGAAAAATTTTGATTTTTTTCTTTTCCCATTTTTTGTGGTAGAGGGAAAAAGTTTTTTTGGATATCCAAAAACTAACTTTTCTATTTTGATAAATTTTATGACGATCAATTTTGTACCAATCAAAATTAAAAAATTGCAGACAGATAAGTTAAATGTCCACTATGCTAGAGAACTTTATTAGATTATTTTAAAATCCTGTCACGTTCCACAAACTCATTTCTTTTAGAACTCGGAAAACTCGGAGACAGAGCGTACGAATATTATGAGTAATAAAGTGTTCCGAATGGAATACCCTGATTTTTTTAAAAATGCAACGTGGAACCCTTTGAATTAAGATAGATTATTACTTAATATGCCTCGAAACTTCGTTAGCTGTGAGGAGTTCATTGATAAATACAGAAAGACAAGTAAAGAATTTTTTGTTTGGAGTGCAGTTATAAAAATGCGTGATCGAGACTTATTAAGTTGTCAGTCATTCAAGGTTATTAGCCAAGCCTCAAACCAATGTTGAAGCACAGGTGGCTTACTAGGTTGCCTGATGTTAAAAGGTTAGTGTACTGGACCCACTGTGCAAAGGTAGCTTATTAGGTTGTCTGTTATTCAGATGGAATGGAAATTGTTGGGTAATTGGGTACGTTAGTTAAAGGTATTCTAATCTCCTGAATCTTAACCTCGACTTGATCATTCAATTGCTAAATGGAACCAGGAGCGTGCACATAAGCAAATTCATGTTTACCAACCAACATATACAGAAATTTCAAATAATAGTAGCGGGACGATCAACTTTCGGAGGCAATTCATATCTAAAAGACGTCACGAAAAGGTACTGATGTGTTTCTTTGCTAGAGTTGTGAGAATCATTAGAACTAATTATTTTGTGATTTAATTTTTAGGTTTATGAACGAGACCCCAAGCGGAAAAAAATAGTAGAATATCATTCCCTTTTCATGCTATCGCTTCGCCTCCACCTGAAATCCAGGCTCAAGACCAATTGGATCTTGATGTAGAACAAAATGTGAAAAATTCATATCTTATAGAGTTATCTTCAGTTAAGGTTCGATATCTTTGTCTTTTACACTTCGTTACTGTTCATTGACAATTCTTTTTTTTGCATCCAGCCTTTGAACCCGGCTATCGAGAGACTTCTCAATGTTAAAAAAGGAATATCAAGATATAGGATTATATTCTTGCCTGAATTTCACCCTAATGATCCGGTTAAACGCCTGTTCACTGAAAATGAATGGATAATGATGGAATCTAATTGGAGAAAGGTGGCGTTTCCAGTTTCCAATTGAATTTAATTTCTCCTAATCTCAATTTTTATATTAACGATGAATTAATGTTCTAGATAGAAAAGGAAATTTTCCATAAATTGAGAATAAACCTCCAATCGCTTTTAAAGAGATATGATTCACAAAATACTACCAGATACTACCAGATACTACATTGATTTGAACAAAGTTGAGTCCGCTATCGGTTAAGTCCGTGTATACAGCTTTGTAAGAATACCTCTATAATTATTCAAACACCAATCAACCCTTTAATAGATGCCAACGCGTCAGAATACGCATATAAAAGTCGTATCTTGGGAGGAAGTTTTTTTGGACGTTAATGGAGTAATCCGGATGAAAACGTAAGTAATTACTCTTGTCTGGTTTGAAAATCTACAATTTCATCTCATACATTTTATCTCTAATCAAAGGTGACGGTTTCAGTTGGAATAATTTTATGAAATATTTGACATGATGGAGTACATAATACTATCCGTCATAAAATGTCCCAATATCATAAAAGAGTTGATGAAGCAACCAGCAGTTTCGCAAGATTTTTCTATTCGATATTATATCATTGAATTATGCATTACAATTAGCAACCTTGGAATACTAAGAGATAAGGACAAACGTAAAACGAATGACGATAGTTGGTTTCATGACGCGATCTTATCGATGAATGTTAGCCAAACTGAAATTCACGTTTATGTTTTGCAACGATCGTAGCGATCAACTGCGGAAAGGTCTTAAATATTAAAATACTGGATGAATCGAAAGCATTCTGATAAGAAAAAAAACGAATATTTGAACCAATTCATCAATTAATCAATCAAACTAATACTCAATTATCCAATTTATTAAAAAATGCTTTCAAACTCTGATATTATTTTGATCGCACTCTTCACCATCGCCATTACAATCTACGAGGATGATTCTCCGTGTCCTAACAATGGCATTTTTTCAAGAAATTTCATAACAGATATTAATTATAGGAGTGTACTTATTCCTACGCAAATATTTAACTTCGGAATCACAACAAATCTCCAAACTCGAAAATACGATATTGGCTTGCTTTCATTGACTATGAACTATGTGAACCAAACTGCAGATTTTGTATTCCGAACGTTTCGTGTACAACAACAATCGATGTTGCCCAAGATCTCGAAGAAGGCCAAGAAGACCATCAACCTCTCTCCCTCATCCTGTATCTTCTTATCCTTATCTAGGCGGTTCATCTCGTTTCTCTTCTGGCCATGTATCTGTAAGTCATTATTCAGAATATTTGGATGAAGTTGAAACAAATTTTGGTTGAATTTACAGCTCTATTTATTTAACCGAAGAAGATAAAGGGAGTTGCGTTCCCACACACAAATGTATAATAATTTGTCTCAAGAAATCAACTTTGACAAGTTTTTCGTCATCAAAGAACTCTAAGGACTACTTCGTTAGAAAAAAATAGAAGAATGTGTTGAAAATGCTGGTAGAAGCAGGGATTCTAATAATGGTAATAACAGTAGCAGTAGTAATAATAATGATAGCAATTAGTAGTAGAGCCAAAGAATAGGGGCAGTCATTGTCTTTCGAGACAGGTTTTGGTAGTATTCTAATATATTAAACTCTGGATTATAGAATGTGGATTCATTGCCAGTAAAATCACATTACAGATCATATGATTTACTACAGTATATCTCATGACTTGATTTTACTGGAAACACTTCTATATTGTCAACGGAGCAATTGAACAATCATAATGAAGTCACGTGGATGACGCAGTATGATGATCTTTTAATCCAGAATTCTGAAAATACCGAGAATTCTGCGAATTCTGAAAATACGGAGGATCTACGTAATTCTGAAGAAGTCTAAGAATATTTAGTGTTATACTTATTTTTAATATTCTAAATTTTATTGTTATTTTTATATTTTTATTATTTTACATATTTTTATTATTCTCAATATATTTATTTTACTTATATTTTATTTTATTAAATTAGTTAGTTTATAGTATAGTAATTAGTTAACAGTGATAAAAGAAATTTTGTATAAATAGATAGACTTTTTGCTTATGTTGTAAATTAACTCTTTTGCAAATTTGTAAAATCTCTTACGAATACGAGTTTCAATATTAATAAAGGAATCATTTAAAACATATATCTTTCTGCCTCTTTGTGTTTTTATATAGTCTGACATGATTCCTACACATTATTTGTAATTGAGTTCGTCATCTGAATTCTTTAATTAAAATTATTCATAATCTCGTTTTTCAAGTCTTCATACTTGATAGATTTGTTTAAATCTAACGCATAAATTTGATAAAGTTAAGAGTTAGGCAGATCTTAACGTCTTGATCACAGTAAGCCGCAGTTAGAAATTTCTAGTAGAGACTTGATAACGTGACTATCTCAAATTAAAGAATCCACAGTGACAATATGTTCTTTTATACAACTCTGAAAATCTAAAAAAAAAATTTTTTTTATAATTTTTTAATTCATCTTAAAAGTTGACGCTTTCTATTCATTCAAGAGATAGGCTAGATTTTCAAGTTTTTCTGATGCTTGTTTCTAATAAAAAGAAATTAATATTTACTAAGATTCATTTTGTTCAGATAAATAAAATTATGATAGAAAAAAATTAAATCATTTATGCAAAGATAAAATTAATACAAAATTTAATAAATTATTTAAAAAAAAAATATTGAAATTGATAAAGCAAAATATTTGAATAATAAGTTTTTTTAGAAATTCAAGTAATTGATAATTATATATTAGTTTTTAAATCAACTTTTTTAATACTTTTTTTTATTAATTTTTTAAAATTTGTAAATCTATTATTTTTTAAAGTTTCTAATTATTAATTATAAAAAATTTTGAAAAGTTTATTGTAAATAAATAAATTTAAAAAAAATATTTTATAATTTATTTGAAATAAAAAAAAAATGTTTGTTTACTAATTAAAAAATCAGGATTTAATATATAATAATAATAAATTATATTATCTAAAAATTAAATACATCCTTCTCTATCTACTCTTAAGAAAAAAATCAATTACCATAAAGTATTGACTAATGTACCTCTTTTGTATAAACTACTTCCTAGAATTTTGGACTAAAAATTTATAAAAAATCTAAGTAATATATATAGATAATTTTTTTTAATAAAATTAATAAATTTTAATAAAAATATATATAAAACAAATCAAAAAACAATTATTTTATTTAAATTTCATTATTTAAAACAAATTAAAAATTATTTCAATTATTGTATTTAATTTTATTATCATTATTGTTTTCATTACTTTCATTATTACTAATTTCATCTGATTTATTTTCTTTATCTTTATCTGCTATAAGATCATCATAATCAAAATTATATCATCTTCTACAATATTAATTTTAACTAAAATACCATAATATTTAAATGATTTATAAATCAAATTTGAATTAACTTTTTTCTATATAAGTTTACCTATTATAATACAAAAGATCTACAGGAATAAGAGATCATATGATATAGCAAAATGATATATAAGAAGTTAGTATAATATAAAAAATCATTGAAATTGGCTAAGTAATGATCAACTTAGATATTACACAAAACTATAAAACAAAATAATTAATAAAAAAAATGAAATCATTAGCCATGATGATACGCGATACAACCTAAAATTGATATATCAAAGAAAGATTTCAAAAAAAAGGGAATATAGTAATAATAAAGTAATAATTAGAATATCTTTATGAAATTATATAGTCATTAACTATAGGATTATTACAAAATAATTAGGTAGTTATTACTTTAACATGATACAAACATTACTCTTGATAAAGAAATCGTTAAATAGTTATTCTATAATAAGATAGAAATTAGTTCAGAAATTTTATTATAAATAGCCATTGAAATTTACCATATAAAAGTAATTTTTTAAGATTGAAATTTAAGAGTATAAATTTGCAATTCTTAAGAAATTACTTTATTATTTTGAATTTAATAAAGTTTTTGTTATAAAAACAAATCCTTTAAAGTATAACCTTGAAATTCTATTAAAAAAGATAGTGTAACTTTAGAATTTCTATTAAAAAAGACAAGTTTTAAACATATCTATTTTATTTGTCTATAAGCGTTTTTATATAAATAAAACTTTTGAAGTTATAAATTTTAGCAGAATAAAAGATTAATCTCCTTTATTAATATTTTATTTTAATCATCTTCTCAGCATAGCATCTTTAATTAATTTGAAATATTTAAAGAAGCTTTAAAGATTAAGTCAGTAAAATCTTCATACTTTCTGGTTTAGAAACTTAAATTGTGAAAGAACACTGTAATAAGATTTTGAGGAAAAGCACATGCTATTTTTTCTTGACTTTCAATTTAAAAATTTAAGTAAAGACTCTTTCAAATGAACTTGAGTTTGAGCTAAGCTCAACTGTTGCTCAATCAGTTAAGTGTTTTAGTCTACCTAATTAACAGTTGGATAATACTATTTAAATACTAAAGAATATAATGGTTTTTTAATCTACTCAGCTGGAATTAATTTACAAATTTTATTTATTATTCAATTATTATAAAATTCATGAATCTATTAAAAAAAAATTTTAATTTGTATTATAATAAATATAATAAATGATAATAACTGATACTTATATTAAATTTAAAATTTTTATTAACTACTATATTAAGAAGTTGTAATTTAAGTATTAATCTTTTAAGAATTACTACTATATTTGTATAAAGCTCATCTAATTTTTATTTAACAGAATTAACTAAATAAAGAATCTAAAATAAGAAGAAATTTTAGATTTATTAATTGTCTAAAAGATCTTTTAAACTAAATATTATCAATTTACTAAATCATTTTTCTTCATTTATTCAAACTTTTTCATTAGTTTTAATAAATACACTATTAAAAATTCTTTTCTAGATTTATTTTTTAATTTAAATAATAACAGAGGTAGCTTTGATTTATTAATCATATAATTTAATATAATTGTAAATATAATCCTTTCATATTTGTAATTTTAATACTAATTATATTAGAATTATGCTTTTCTAAAGTATAAGAATTAGGTAAATTAAAAAAATAAAAGTTTATCTATATTGAAAAGAATAATCATATTGTATTTTTCTATAAGAATAAAGCTTAAAAATCCTATTATTTTTCAAGTAAATCCTTTGATAAGTATTAAACTACTATTATCTTTATCTATTTGAAAAATTATGATGAATCATAAAGTAGTATTCTGAAAGGGTCAAATCAGATTAGGTTTGAGAATATACTTAGACTTAACCCATTTATAAAAACTAACCTGTACAAATACCTAAGTTAATATTTATAAAACCTGATCCTGACCTGACCCATTATAGTTTGACCCTTGGATAATCCAGATCAAATAAAATTTTTAACAAATTTATTTATAATCAGCAAGATAATAGTATATATTATTGCACAACTTTTCAAAAAAAGATTCTAATTAAGTTTTATTTAAATTTTTATAATAAAATTATAAAATATATTCTAATTAAATCCTCTTTACTCCCATTATGACTTTAAATACATACAGGCGTAAATTATATTTTTTTTGAGATTGCTTCTTTTTGCTGTTATTAAATTAGTTCTACCAGAAAAATTCCATTCTACTGGAACACTTGTAGCTAAATTAAAAATCATTTATTAACTAATATTTAGTAATGTTAAAATGAATAAATTTT